GCTTTCGGCATTTAGTCATGCCGGCCACAGGACCACGGAGACGTCTTTGGACAGCACTGGCTCGTCGGCTTTGAAACGCTGAGATGAGCACTGCCCCCTAGAGTAGGGTATGACTAGCACATATGTACGAGGGGAACCTTTACCTTATAAAGGTAGAACTCTTTGATTTTAGAAGTATAGGGAAAGGAATTTTATTCAATTAAGTCCTGTACTTCTGTTTATGCATTGAAAAATATTACTTTGTACTATTATGAAGAAAAATTTCTGGCAAGATAAATAAGTTATATGTGGGCTTTTCTTTTTTAGGGTATCATCTTTACGACTGGCCTACAAAGATCTTGAAATTCAGATGAAGGATGAAAAATTAAATGTGCCTGGTAAAAAGAAAACAGAGATAGAAAGACTTGGCATGGGATTCAGTAATAGTAGAAGGTATGCACTTTTCATTGGACATCTCTTAACACAGGTAATCCTCGATTTATTGCCACAATTGAGGCACAAAATTTTTGCTGTGAAGTGAGACATCGTTACGTAAATTTTGCCCTGTTTTACACCTTTCCACAATTATTAAGTGAATCACTGCAGTTGTTAAATTATTAACGGTGGTTAAGTGAATCTGGATTTCCCATTGTCTTTGTTTGTCAGGAGGTCGCAAAAGGTGATCACATGATCCCAAGGGACTGGCTACAGCCCCCGCGACGAACTTTGGCCAGCCGGGGGATGCAGGAGGACATCCAGACAAAAAACAGGGCCCAAGGGGACTCATGCATGTCCCCGTGCCCCATTTTGGTCAACAGAGTGCTGCAGGAGGCGTCTGTCCAGTCTCCACCCCTTAGCCGGTCCACAGAGACTACAATGCTTATCCGGCCCTCAGAAAAATCCAATTTGACACTGCTGTACTACTCTGTATTAGTATTGTAGTCTCCTGGCTAATGTAGCATCCCCATATGTTAAATAAACAAACAAATAAACTAGTATTACTCTATGCTGGGCCAAAATCCCCCAGGGAGCTTTCATGGCTGAAGGAGGTCTAGAATCTGTGTCTCTTCACACCTGGCTTAACACCTTTACTCCTGGCTCTTGGGATGAGAGGAAAGGTGCTGGCCTAGAGTCCCTTAGGAAGCCTCCCTTAGCAATAGCAATAGCAGTTAGACTTATATACCGCTTCATATGGCTTTCAGCCCTCTCTAAGCGGTT